CTTCCCCAGAGACACTGCATATAAGAATGCTGTGAACTGGTAACCATAAGCAAACTCCGTTAGTAACAGTCTCAGTCTCCCCTGTTGTTAAGTTGGTATTAGGTGCCTTCAGTGTCCTTTCATTTCCATTTTTCACTAGTGTCCATTGACAGGGAAGTCCGTTGACTACTAGATGCATCAGTACTCATGTTAGAAACAGATACTCTGCCAAGTAACACTTTCACAGAATATAGTTCCTACCTGCCACTGTTCCTTTTGCTTCGTTTTTGTATCTTTGATCTCCAGCCCCACCTAAGTTACTAGGACATTTAGCAGGAGCATGCTTAGAAGAACTCGGCTAAAATTAATACCAAAAATAAAGCAATTAATGTTTTCTTACTCATTTTAGGATATGTGAATTCCCCGATTTAAAAGAAACTATACATAAAACAAAAAAGAATGTGTCTAAAAACAATTATTTCAATACCCAACCTTATGCATGCTGTCTACACTAAGCTTATCTCTCACCACTGTATAAAACAAAACTGGAAGTTTACAAGACACAAGTCCATAGATTACTTATCAACTGATTACTTGTATACATTTTATAAAAGAAGTTAACCTTATATTGCTTAACTGTTACATTCCACATAGAAAATGAGTATTCATTTTTAAAAATTACTTCTTCTCAAACATCCCAATAAAAAACTATTTTTGGTCACAGAATTTTCTATCTCCTCTCCTCGGCAATCAAAATATAACAATGATTTTGCAAGAAATATGCTTTCTGTCTGTCTGGAATATTTTCTAAATTCACATTTTTAATAAAATAAAATATCTCGATTTTAAAACAATAATTCTAGAGTTTACCAGCAGATGGCTTCTAAACCTAGAAGACAGGAAAGGAGAGGAGAGGAAGAAGTGAGCATAGGTGGTGGAGAAATGGGTTTGCCTACTCTAAAGGGAGGCAGAGCAGGCACTAAGAAGTGAGGTGGCGGCTGTTCTTGCTCCTAGGAAAATGCTGAATTACACTGTTCATCAACAGAGCCAGTAACAAACACAAGTGCTAGTGGGTCTGTGCCTTCTTCCTTTGAGAAAACTGACCACTGTCTGAGTCACTGTGACTCCCAGAGCCACATCCTAGCCCAGTAAAAAGAGTGCCTTCAGAACAGAGACCCACAACTGACTGGACATGTCCGACTGTGTTTACATTTCATCAGTAGCCTTTCTGCCAGTCTCTTAAGTTGGTCGTGGTGGCAGGTCAACCATGAGACTGGACGACTCTCTGTTGAATTACAGTTTCACTGTGCTGTGTCAAACTTTGGCGAGAGATTTATGTCCTTTGGAAGCTTTAGGTTGGAGACACTTGAAGACAACCACAGCCCTGCAGAATGGGCAGGAATAAGACAACTAGAGACCCCACCCAACAAATGGTGCAACCACAGCATGAGCCACAGGTAAGTAGTGGAGAGATGGAGAGAGAAAAGCAGAGAAGCTTGAGCACTATGAAGAGAGGTGGATCTGGAGACTCAGTGAGGGAGAAGAACAACCTGATATGAGTTTCCTCCGAAGTCATCTGAGGCTCTGGTAAAATCTAGGCCTGCAATGGTGCTGGGGGGCATTTCTGAGTCTGTGGCCATTCAGCAAGAGGGGTCTGTGTTAATGTCCATGGCCCAAGTTATCACCAAAGGCCATGTGGTTGTCCTTGGTCTGGAGTGCTGCACGGGACCACATTTATAATGAAGGGCTACACAGTGTTCTCCTCATCCCTCACTCCATGCAGCACTCAGGATTGTGGGCCCTGCATCTCACTTGGGTAGCACAGTAGGGCTGACCCTAGTGGAAGGGGTGTGGGTGATCTGGCCCTGAGGGCATGAAAACTGGAGAGCTGGCCCTGCTTCTTATCTGCCATGCAGTGATGAGAGCAGAAGAGCTGGCTCCACCCTTTGCTGCCTGAGGCATTGTGTGAGCTAGCTTGGGCAGTACTGGAGAGCTCACCCTGCTGGTGAGGATGTGGGAGAGCTGGCAGGATGACCAACTCAGCTACCACCCAGGTCCAGATACAGAGCTAAGAATTTGGCTCCTCCCAATATCCAGTTAATCTGTGATCTGCTGAGCATGTAAAGATCCTAAGCTGCAGGATCTCCATGACACAGGGCAACAACATGATATCAAAGAGTGGTCCCATTGATGATTCAGTATTGAGAGTGTAGCAGAAACCAGAGGCCTCAAACTAGACCAATGATTCATTGCAGTGCACACCTGCAAATAAAAATGTATGGACTAAAGGAGAAAAAAAGAAGATAGAAAAATATAAAGGAAGCCCAGGGAGGAGCTCTAGAGAGGGGGATAGTAGGATGCAGATGTCTAGAAGGGGAAAAAATGGGACAAGCAGATTTTAACTACAGGAGAATGAGAACAATAATACATAGAGAGGAAGGAAAGCTAAATAACACTAAGGATGATTGAAAATCCATACAGAGCATACTATTTTATATTTACATGAAAATATATATGATATATGTATGTGTGCATATATAAATAAGTTAAATGAAGTTACACCACTTTGGAAGATGCTGCATCCCAAAGATCCATAGACTGTCTAACAAAATCTTCAGCTCCAGGCAAGTGAAACATCCCTTTGAGTTGTTGCTCAGTGGATTCTAAGAGACTCCCATAGAAATACAGGCTCTTCAGGTTGAAGCTAAGACTCTATTACTGGAGACATCACACACCTTAGACACAGGACTCATAGAAATCCAGCAGGAACTGGCCTGGAATGCTTTTTCATGAGGGTTGACTTTCATACCCCAAAGGTGCTATGCAGGCCACCAGGAGAGAAAAGCACCAACAGCTCTACCTAGTTGCAGAGCCTGTGATCCACAACAATGACTTGTTTAACAAGATATCTCCAGTGGTGCAATCGTAGTACTTTCTTCTTAGTGGTATCCAATAGCTGTCTAGCTTGACTTAAGGCCTACCCAGTAGAAGGCAACTCATACCTGGTACTGCAAATCTGAGCAGCGTCCTTGGCAGTGGAGGTCACTGAATCTAGAGAAGAACCTACTACTGCCATTTTCCCCAATCATTATAATTTCTGTTTTTTAATACTCACCAATGAGTACAGTTCTCACCCAAGGTAAGTTTCCCTTGTAGCATGTAGAGACTATCAGAGAGTCATAACTAGTAAAAATGAAAATAATTGGTCACTGTTGGGTGCTTGACACTACCTGGTACAGTTACAGTTTCAGTCCTTACTCCTAATGTTCAGGAAACATCATGGAATAGGAGACAGAAAGACTGGAAAGTCAGAGAGTCAGTATACCTACTGCAGATACTGTCTTCTAGACATGAATTAAAAGCTGCACTCATGAAATTTTAAATATGTTTGTCTAAACAGGACTTGCATAGTGAAAATATCAGGAAATACACCAAGGTGAATGGGGGAAATTTCACAAGGTACCATCCCTTGATGAAATCAAAAATCAGTATTCTCCAGGGACAAACCTCCTGACAGGTTACCTGATCTCAAGTGGCCAGCCCGAGATACATGTATATAATCAGTAGATTATATATACATACATATATATATATATATATATGTGTACTAATATATTTATATATGTAAGAATAATAATTAAACAATAAGAGGTCATGAATTTGAAAACAGATAGGGACATATACAGAAGAAGCTGAAGTGGAGAAAAGGCAGAGTGAAATGATATAAATACAATATTCATATATGAAAAATTTTAAAATTAAATTAAAAATATTTAAATTTGCCTGGTGGCGGTTTTGCACACCTTTGATCCCAGCACTCAGGAGGCTGAGACTGGTGAATTGCTATAAATTCAAAGCCAGCTTGGACTACAGAGCAAGTCCAGGATAGCCAAAGTTACAAAGAGAAATCCTGACTCAAAAAAAAAAGAAAATTAGTTTTAAGCTTGGTTTGCAGCATGCCAAATAAAGCAGACCACTTCATCCCTGGAACTGAAGGATGACTTTGGCAATGTAGAAAGTTTGCAACCTCAAATAAAAGTTTTCAATTCAGAAAGATTAAGTTTATGTGACTATATAATTAAGTTTTTATAACTACCAGTATTATTTAAGAAAATGTAGGTTTTCTATCACCCTATAAACAGCATAATAAAATTCTTTTTTCTAATTATGTCATATAAAATGGTACTTCATGATTGAACAAAAAATCATTATGAAAATATCAAGCTATCATTACCCTTCCAGATGGTATTTGAGCTAATCCTTTTCAAATATGGTTCCAATATGTGTAAACTTGTATCCAGTATTCACATCAGGAAGGAGAAATTTGCCTAAAATCTTGATTCATGTTTTTTACAACTTTCAAACCTCTAATAGATGACTGGGAATTAGAGTGTACTAGAAAGCAACTCTGACTGTTGGACTTGGCTTTGCAACTGTGTAGTAGAACGCTTTCTATATGTCAAGGTCTATACCCACAGACATGGAATAACAAAAATAAAGCCTACAGCTATCACAAAAGAACATGAATGCTAAGGTGAATGATTTTGCTAAAAATGACATGAGATATTCATCTTGCTGGAGATATTCTTAAAAGCAGATATCAATCTTCCACAAATAGTTCTGTGTTCTCAAGTAGGAGTCTCTTTTTCATTGTGATTCTGTAATATTATCATATTAGTATGGTTTATAAATCATAGTAAGTGACATTTTATCCAAATATTATTTACCATATTTGAAATCTCCTCTTCTATAGAATTTCTATTTTTAATACAATTCTCTTAAACTGTGTATTTCATTCTTTCCCTATTATCTCAGAATAGTTACCTGATCTTTGTTGTTTATCAAATTAAAGAAGTATTCAATTAGTCACCAGCCACAGGCTTATGAAAACATCTCTTCTCACCAACTGTCTACTGTTGTCCACAGAATGACAACAGGTAGACCACTACAGAAGTTCAATAGTAAACACCATAGAAACACATTTCTGTACAAATGTATTGAGTTCAAAAGCAAAATTTTACCTTGTCATCAAAATCATCATCATCCTCACTTGACTTAGGCAAGGTGGATCCAGAAGTAGGATCATCATGGTGCCTACAGAGGAAATACACAATAAAAATGGATGAGTGCAACTTTAAAAAAACAGTCAAAAGTCTCCATATTAAATTACATTTCATAGTCGTAACTGATGTGAATAGAGTTTGACATCTCATATTATTTAAATAACAACTTCCCATTTCTAGTTTCCTCTTTGCCTCTTCCAATGTATAAAAGTAAATACATTCAGATTTTTTATTCTATGTGATATGTTGGCAGGGCCTTAAGAACTTAACTTTATAAACTGCCTAAACTTAATGAAGGATTCAGAAACTATTCAGTGCCTCAAATAACTCATGCTACTCTCACCTGGAAGAAAGCCTACTTCAGAACCTAAGTTGTTCAACTGAAACATGGAAGCCGTGTTGTTTTGCTATGAGAACTACTATGGAAAAGCAATTATTAATTTCCCTTTGCACTAAAGTAGTAAAAATAATTCTCTGAAACTTCTTAAATATCTTAAAGATAATTTAAGAACTGAGTTGATAGATAGATAGATAGATAGATAGATAGATAGATAGATAGATATAGATGAGCTCAAATATCTGTGTAGTCAATGGGAATGCCTTTAACAAAGAGTGTAGAACAGAGAAGAATGTAAAATATTTTTATCTGAACATATAAATTTGACTTTTGAAACTGATCTGATGTGTATCTAGGTTCCAGGGCTACATGGGCTTCTTTCAATCTATGCTAATGAACAAAAGAATACATGGGAAACCAAGTCAGACTGATAGTTAAATCATGGGAGCACTATTCTGAATGACAGTTGTGTAATTAGAAAATTATGTATTATAATAGGAAAAACATCAAATATTTATTATAGTAGTTATAAGGAGTAACTAATGTTTACCATAAAATATTGGGGTTAAAACAGAGTAGAATACTGAACAAATATTTATTTATCTATACATTCCAAAATTTGGAAACAGGATTTTTAAAACTATATGAATCTTACTTGGCTAATGAATTGTCTTCAGAATTCTTGTATTCTATTTAAGAAAAAGAAACGTGTTTAAGTAGAACAATTTAAAAATTTCTAAAATATCAAAAACATAATGACTAAAAATTTACTAGGAAGCATTCCTTTTACACCATCTCTAAAAAATAGCCCATGGTGGGTGCTAATCATAATGATTATTGAGTAATGAATGCTCTAAAAAATAAATCTACTTCCTGTTTCCTATTTATTAGGCCCAAAGCCAGAAGACTATAACTTACATACATTTGACACCTAAAAGTAAAACGCAATGTCCAATGACATTCATGGTAACTCAATTTTAGAAGACTGACTTAAACAGTATCATAAGCTGACAGTGCCAAATAAACAGCAGAATATATATGCAGTATGACTGAGCTTCCTTAAGATAATATTTCTTATCACAAACTGAAATTTGGACCAAATACTTGATATAATTCTTTGTGAATAAAAAAAAGATAAGCTCAACCTATCAATACTGAACTTTGCAGTATGGCAGAAATGGAGGTAGGCCAAAACCAAAGGGATTTGCAAAGACTTTTCAGCTGTAAATCAAGCTGGATACAAGTCTTCCTCTTCCAGGAACAATGCTAAAAAATTCTTCCAATGACAGCTATTTCCATGTTCTTATACCTGGTGCAAATGGGATTCAGACTCATCAGATACAGTTCCTGCAATAGAAAGAACCTCTGCAAGATCAGACCTGAAGGATTTACCAGTCCTGAACTGTGCTAAATAAAGAGACATTTAAGCTTAAAAGAACACGGAGGAAGCAGCAAGCTTCTAGGGAAATGTATTTGATATGTACTTATAAAATGAATAACCTCCTGAGATTGTTAGACATGATACCTGAACCAAAGAAAACAAGCTAAACAGTGATGCTAGTATAGAGTGTAACTTCTTTCAACCTTTTTCATTAAGAGGAAAATTGCTACAAAAATAAAGCTTTTTCCAGTGTATTTACCATTGTATCCTATGCTTATGATCAAAAACAACAGGTGGAAAAGAGCTGAGAGAGCAATGGCTACAGAGTTTGCTTAAAATGTATGAGGTTCTGTGTTCAATCCTTAGTTACACAAAAATTTATTAATTTATTAAAGAAAGCTGCTGAGTGTGCACTGCATGCCTCTAACCTCAACTGAGAAGTTAAGACAGCTTGGATCAGGAGTTCAAAGACAACTTCAACTACATGGTAAGATAGAGGCTACTACAGGATAACTAATATAATGTCTCAACATAGATGAAAAAATAAATGTATTCAGTGAGGTTACTATAACTACACATCAAAGAGACAACCTTTAATTGGAGATAAAATTGAAAATTAGGGCAACAGATTGTGAGTGCTGTTACCTAAATTAAAATATTGAAAATATGGGAACAAGTTTCAATTGCATATGCTTAGAAAACATGTAATAACAGTGTTGGTTTATATTGGTTGTGTGATAATCATGATTATAATATTCACTTCTCATTGGCATAAGACTTACCTGGACTGCCATCTTTATTTTTAATATGTAACTTTACTTCATGGTCCATAAGAATCTTTCGACTACTGCCGAGTGAAAAAAAAAACCATAAAATTCCCATTTTAGTATTGATATGAAAAACATCTTTATGCTATGTTGAATTTTCCAGAATGTTGCAGACAATATCAAAGGCATTACCATACTTGAATAAAACCCAATATATTATTTCTTTTCACAGCTTATATTCAGTTATTATAGCTATCAAGAAAACATGAAATCCTTTTCTAATTTCAGTTCTGGTGCTGTGATAAAATAGCCTGGCAAAAGAGAATTAGGGGAAGAAGGACTTACTTTGACTCACAATGGTATATCATTATTACAGCAAGGTTGAGACAGCAGGAACTTGAAGTAGGTAGTTGCATCATATCCACAATCAAGAGCATAAACAAGGGAATGCAATGCATGTTCCTCACATACACTATTCTTATACAATTCAGGAATATTATTGTTGGTGGTTTCCTTTACTCTTTTGCCCTTAGCTCTTTAGGGAGCTTGCCACCAAGCTCCCAAATAAATCACACACAGAAGCTTCTTCTTTCTTACAAATGCCTGGCCCTAGCTTTTCTTAAATTATCCCGTCTACCTTTTGCCTCTGGGCTTTTTCCTCTTCTAACTTCTGTTATTCTTACTTTCACTCTTATTCTGTGGCTGGCTATGTGGCTGGGCGGCTGGTTTCTAGCATCTTTCTCCTCTCTAATTCCTTTATCTTTCTTTCCCAGACTTCCCCTCCCATTTGTTCTCCCTGCCTGCCAGTCCCACCTATCCTTTCTCCTTCCTAATAATTGAACAACCAGCTTTTTATTAGACCATCAGGTGTTTTAGACAGGCAAAGTAACACAGCTTCACAGAGTTAAACAAATGCAACATAAAAGAATGCAACACAACTTTGCATCATTTAAACAAATGTTCCACAGCATAAACAAAGGTAACACACCTTAAATTAATATTCCACAACATACTCCTGAGTAGGAAATGATGCTACTCATAGGCTGGGTCTTCCCACATCTATCTACAATCAAGAAAGTTCCCCCAACTGACCATCTTACAGGTCAATCTGATCTAAAAGATCACTCACTGACACTGATTCTCCAGGAGACTTTAAGCTGCATGACTTGATAATTAGAATTTACCATCATAAGCCCTCTAAATTCCACTGATAGCTGCTCTAATTTTGTCTTACCTTTGGGGAAAAATGAGCTATTTAACATCTTGAAAATATAAGCTTTTTATCATGTGATTTCTTTCCACTAAATAAAATGATTGTTCGCTATTACCAAATGCTCAATGACCAAAAACTTCAAACTAACACTTTACAAAATGTCACTTAGTTACATGTGGTCTTCCTGTACCTAATCAAGCTCTGAACCTGCAGAGGTTAGAAAGATTGTTTGAAAGATTGATTGGTCTGTTTGTCTCCAAATTCCATTGAAGATTAAATCCTATCCTATCCATGGATTCCATTGGAACATAATGTGAATGAGGTCTCTTAATTACGGACTAAGGCTGACAACTACTCAGAGAAGGATGATATTGGCTCTCATAGCACCTAGGAAAGGATGCTGAACAGAATGCAAAGGGATCTGGTTCTAGCAGTACTGAATAAAGACTTGTGATATTCCCTGCAACATGATTTAAACATTCCTGACAGCTTACAATGATCCCAAGTCATATTTTCTACCAAAAGAGATGAACAAACTCTTCACAGTTAATAAACCATAAAGGTCTAGGGTTAAAATGACATGTGGCTCCATGGAAGGTTCTGAATAAATGAGAATGGTCAAATAGGTAGCAATGGGTGCAGCACAAGCTGAAAAGCCCAGCAGCCAAAGGAATGCACTGTCACTTTGGGACTAATAGCTCAATTAAAATTTGTAGTTTTCAATGTAAATGTCAACTGCCATAAATCATTAGAGAGCTGATTCAACGAAGGCAGCCTTGTCATGGAGGTCAGTCTCTATTGATCTCCAGAATAAGTGTGACTAGCAACACTGCAGCAACAGAATCATAAAAACAAAAGCAGGACTAGATGCCCTCTTCTTGCTCCATCTGTCTTGTGAAAGAGAGCATTCCTCCTGGGACTTAGGGAACCCAGAAACCTGTATCTATTTCAAGATTCAAAAAGTAATATATAGAAGAAAGCCCCCCAGAGGAAGAAACACTATTTTCTGCAACACTGTAATTGAAGACTAAAAGAGCTAATTAAAATATCAAACATCTGAATATATATATATGAAGTATAGGGTTTATAATTGGATGAAATGGAAACTGTTATGGTCCATAATTTCTAAGCTCCAGAAAGTTCTACACAGAGATGTAGCTCATTTACAGAATTGCACAGTACAAACGAGGCACTTCGTTCAGTCTTCAGCAATACAAAACCAAATCATGAGATAAAGAAACGCTTCTTCATTTCTACTTCTAATGGTATGCATTTTGCATACTGGATATTCACTGCTATTCCAAAACAACCTAGAGTCAACAATAATACATTATGAGGGGAAGATGAAGACTTTGGGATTAATTTGAAGTGCAAGTTAGTGTTTGCTAGCATTACAATGCAAACACCTACCCTTTTCTTGTGCCTTCAATAGCATAACGTAATGCAGTCCATCCAAATACATCTTTAAAGAAAAAGTCAATGCCTTCATCCAGAAGTAGACTGACCATATCTGTTGAATCCCATCTTATGGCATATAAGAGTGTGTTTCTGAAATAACACAGAATAGCTTCATTATTAGATAACTTAATTAAAACTGTTAATACTTGGGTATATTTTGCAAATTTAATATCTTGCTTGTCTGTTTGGAATTGTCCTTTTTATACATATAAATATCATTGGTTACAAAGATTCATCTTTATATATGGTGGGCAAAGATAAAATAAGAAAGTGGATGGGAAGCCTCTGGCAGTGTTTTGCATGTTCTTAGTAGAATTCTTAGATTCTTCAACTTTGATAGAATATGTGTATAAAAGTTATTCTTCTTAAGTAGATAAGGACTTAAACGAAGATGTTTCCATTTTCTTTAGTTTACTGTAACATATAATTACTAATCAGATAACCATCAGATAATTGAAAGCTATTTTCATTATTTAAACTACAACAACATTATAAAATACTCTGTTAATAATAAAATTCATTATAGTTACAGTTAGTAATGATGATAACATGTGTTATGCACTGCCCTAAATGTTACATAAATGATCTCATGAAAACCTTTACAAGGTATTATCCTCCTTTTCATATTTGGTGATATATAACACCAGCAGTTCAGACACCTAGCACCTAGGTAGCTGATATTTTAACCAAGTCTTCTATGAATCTGCATCTACCCACCTACTACTTAGCTTCACTAATCTTTCTCCTAATAAAATGAATTTACTTTGCTTTCCCAACTCTATGTAAATATAAACACATCAATACCAGGTGTATAGGACAAAAGGGGGTAGGGTTGAGCAGCATCCTGAAATAACAACTCTTAGTCATCATAGGATATTCTAACCTCATTATTCCTCAAACAAAGGGAATTGAAAGGTAAGAGTCATCTAATAGACTGTGATTGTCAACTCTTTTTATGAATAATATGGCATTTTATAGGACAATCATATAAGAGCAAGGGAAAACAGTACAAAATGATTGAGTTTTGTTGTGAATCAAAGTTAATCAAAAAGTTTAAACTTCTTAAAAAATTAGTAAAACCAAACTGAAAACCCATTAATCTATGGTAAGATCAGTTGTCCAATCAAACAAAATATCAAATAATAAGCAGCAATCAATATAATAAGGGGATATGAAACTTATAAATAATTTGTGTTGCTCACCTCAACTTAATTGCTTTGCTTACCCAACTAATTAGACTGATGACTAGTTGATACCTGATCACTGAATCCCTGTAAGTTAGTCTTCTTCCCTTCAAGTTAATATTTCTTGGTTGTAAGATTATTTCAGTATGTCACACATTTTTTTTGAAAAAATTCAAACAGTACCTTTTCATCTTATCAAATACATGTATATTTGCCCCCTTCTTTACTAAAAATTTTGCCATCTCTATTTTGTTTTCCTTGAGAGCCAGTAAAAGTGGTGTAAAGCCATCCTGCAAAACAAAACAAAAGAATCTGTAATCCAAAATCATTGTAATCTTCAACTTAATGGAGCCTTAAACAATTCTATGAATACAAAGCCTTGCTAGAGTGAATAAGCAGCTTCTTCCCTTGCAGGCCCCTGTACCTTCCTTCTCCTTGAAACACCCTACAACTTCTACATGCGACACATGAAATCTGCTCACTCCCTTCCATAGATGACTTTAAAACTGTGTTTGTTCTACAAACATTTCCTTCTACCTTAGCATTTAATATATGGAGTCATGTAATTGCTCTCTTCACCTCTTTAAGAGCAATTTGATAAGCAGGTTTCTGCATGAATATCTTGAGGCTTAGCAGTCTTAGAGGAAATTACTGTTATCTGTGGACCATACTGAGTCCATAGCTTCTGAGTTTTTAACTTTCCAGTGAGTGTTTCCTCCAATGAGTTTGTATAAACCATTTTTTACTTGTGAAATCATCTAACACATTTTATAAAAATGATATTTACCCCAAAGGAAATATAACTCAACATCAACCCAGAAATTTTCAAACTTTTGTTAATTTACACTTCACTTGCATTCTGTTTTCCCCTAATGTTGATGAAATGAAACATTAGTGTTAAAGCAAAATTGTTCAGTTGATTTTCAACACTCTCCTTAACTCACTGTTTTTGCAGTGTTTACAACTGCTAGGATATGACACCCAGGCTTTATAAGCTTATCAAGCCACACGGTAATGGCTCAACTGTCAAGGTTGGGATTTGTTACTCTTTCAATATAGAAAAAAAACCTTGCAATTACTAGTCTGGGATCTGTTTACCTGAATACTAATAATACATAGAATTCTTAAAAGTCTAGCTTCTCATAATTTTCAAGATCTTTTAAAAGTAATGAATTATTGTTGTCTTATAGCAAGGAGGGTTATAAGCTAATCTTCACCATTCTTACTGGTTTTTTTTCCCAAACATAAAAATAGTAAAAGAAGAGGTAGGACTAAAATTATTGGAGTCAAACCATGGCTCTTCCAGAGTTCCTTAGGATTTTGAGATCTATCATCTACACATTCAATGTTTATCCAGGAACTCTTTCAGAATTTCAAGGAAATAATTTTTGTAAATGCCTTTGTCCATGACTAATTAGATTTAAAGATTCAAACTCTGCATAGAAAACTCTACTAGTTATATATATATATATATATATATATATATATATATATATATATATATATATATATATATATTCAAACTTCTCCTGAGGTCATCAGGACACAATCCAGAACTAGGAAGCTGCCTGTAATTTCAGTCTCATTTGTAACCCACATGTCTAATTCCCTTCACCATTTGTTCTTATCACAGAAAAGAGAAAGGTCACTGAAAACTTCATAGTTTCCCTTGATGGGAACAGACTGGGAACAAGCTACTAGGGTTATATTTTATTTCAATATGGAAAAATGTCGGTTCCATCTTCTCCTTCTCCCAATCCAGGCATCCTAGATTGGAAAACAGGGGTTAGGTTTTGACCTAAATGGTGGTCATATCTTCAAAAAAAGGGAAATTCGCCAGTGCATCCTGTGATCTTTCCTCTTTTTTTTCACATATCCACCACCTACTCACTACCTACTCCTCAGATTGAACTACAGGCATGTTTGTAGCTCAGTAACTTCAGCATATGAAGAATGAATACTCCTAAAACAGAAAACACAGATGCAATACAGGTAAACTCATTGCAAAATAATTCTGTTAGTTTTGATTTTTGTTTTTTGGTTGGGGGTGGTGGCTTTGCTTTTTTGTTAAAGGGGTCATGAAGTTGAACAGTTAAGAAGGGGCCATCCCATCACCAGAGTAGGTTAGTTCGGGCTGTCTCTCGACCATTGCCAGCAATCTGTTGTGGGGGTATCTTTGTGGATTTCTGTGGGCCTCTCTAGCACTTTGCTTCTTCCTATTCTCATATGGTCTTCATTTACCAGGGTCTCCTATTCCTTGTTCTCCCTCTCTGTTGTTGATCCAGCTGGGATCTCCCGCTCCCCCAAGCTCTCTTTTCCTTGACCCTTGCCCTTCACTACCCCCACTCATGTCCAGGCTGTTCATGTAGATCTCATTCCATTTCTCTGTCATTGGGCGATCCCCGTGTCTTTCTTGGGGTCCTGTTTTCCAGGTAGCCTCCCTGGTGATGTGAGTAGCAGTCCAGTCATCCTTGTTCCACATCTAATATCCTCCTATGAGTGAGTACATACCATGTTTGTCTTTCTGAGTCTGGGTTACCTCACTCAGGATGATTTTTTCTAGATCCATCCATTTGTCTGCAAACCTCATGATGTCATTGTTTTTCTCTGCTGAGTAGTATTCCACATTTTGTTTATCCATTCTTCAGTTGAAGGGCATCATCCAACTACTGAGGGATCTGGATGCAGAGATCCATGACTAGGCCCCTGGTGGATCTCTGGGAGTCCAATTAGCGAGAATGAGGAGGGTTTATATGAGCAAGAATTGTTGAGACCAAGGTTGGATAAAGCACAGGGACAAATAGCCAAACGAACGGAAACACATGAACTATGAACCAATGGCTGAGGGGCCCCCTACTGGATCAGGCCCTCTGAGTGGGTGAGACAGTTGATTGGCCTGATCTGTTTGGGAGGCATCCAAGCAGTGGGACCAGGTCCTGTGCTCATTGCATGAGTTGGCTGTTTGAAACCTGGGGCCTATGCAGGATTGCTTGGCTCGGCCTGGGAGGAGGGGACTGGACCTACCTGGACTGAGTCTACCAGGTTGATCTCAGTCTGCAGGGAAGGCTTTGCCCTGGAGGAGATGGGAATGGGGGGCGGGCTGGGGGGAAGGTGAGGGGGGCGGGAGTGGGGAGAACAAGGGAATCCGTGGCTGATATGTAGAACTGAATTGTATTGCAAAACAAAAATAAAAAAAAAAAAAGAAGGGGGATTGATGAGGATATGGCCGGAGTTGGGTGATGGTAAATAATGTGATCAAAATAAATGAAAATGTTCATGAAAATAGTAATAATTCTTCCTATATTCCTCCAATTGCCTACGTTCCAAGTGGGTCTTCATATTTCTGTTCAGGTTCTGGTTCCGTATTCTTCATTTAGTCTTCACACAGAGAAATATATCATTTGATATTATTTGTCAACGGCAATAAGATTTAAAATTTGCCACAAATTCTTTTGTTTCACTTGAGATTTAAAATAGTTTATTTAGCAAGGGAATTTTTGCTCTCCAGTTCTGTTACTTCACATAGGTTAGAAACAAATTTTAGTGGAAAAAATCATAAAAAGAGAAGCTTTACCTTGAATAAATATAGCAAACATAGTTTCTGCCTCTGCCACAAAAGGAGCTACGTCATCACCTGTCTCCAGGTGCCTTTCCCCCATTAGCTAAGTGACGTGTGCACCCCTAAAAGTGCCCGCCAGGCACAGCTCGCTCTCTTTGCCTCTTCCCTTCTCTTGTCTCTCATCTCTCTCGGTTCTTGCTCCTCTTTGTTTCTTCTTTCCTCTCTTGCCTTTTCTTTCTCCCTTGCTTTTCTTCTTCCTCTTGTCTGTCTGCCCTTTTCAAGTCCCCACGCTGACATAGACTTTCACTCTTCCACTCTCTTTTTTCACCAGTAAACCTTGCACTAAGTCTGTTGGGCATGGCATGTTTGCTTAGTGGCACACCTTGGCAGGGTCCCCCGAAATGTACCCACTATTGACTTCCTTTTTATTTACCCCTTCACACGGTATTTCACAAATACTATTTCTCTATGCAGGAAAGTTCTAGACTCTAACACTTCATTCAAAGCAAGTCACATTCCCTATTAGAAGTCATATGCTTAAACAAATAAGCTATTTCAAAGTATTTTCATTCAAGGAAGTTAATCCTATGTGTATTGCTATTAACACACACACACACACACACACACACACACACACACACACACACACACGTATTTCAGATTATTTGGGGACTACAGAGCCGTGAACTATACCTTGTTCTTTTGTTCCATGTCTGCACTGTATTTAAGCAAATATTCAGCCATCTTCTGATTATTTTCAGACACAGCATAGTGAAGAGAAGTATTGCCATTTTTGTCCATACAATTTGGATTAGCACCGTGCTTCAACAATGTACACATGCATCCATATGACCAGTTTTGTACAGCCTAGGGATTATACCAAGAAACAGATTGCTTGTTCAATGAATTCAATATAAACATCACATAGAGTTCACCAAATAGTAACATGTTCATGGGTAAGTTTGTTTTATAATCATTTAAATTAAGTCTATGTTATGCTAGATTTGGACAGCTATACATACCTTCATCAGAGGTGTGATGGAATTCCTGTCAACAGCATCAATATCACAATTATTTCTCAGTAGAACTCTTACTACTTCTTCCCAGCCATAGACACAAGCGAAATGCAGAGCAGTCCTATGGAAATGAGAAAGTTTTAATGAAATTCTAGAACACTATCCTAAAATTTACAATTACTCATGTAATTATAAAATATTAAATGGCACATAATTCTTAAAACTTGAATGATATGTGTTTCTTCCACCTTCTGAACAAATACTTAATTCCTTGTGAAAAATGGAAATATTTATTAGCTTGTATTACTCACTATACTGGTAAAAAGACCTTTTCGATGGTGTCTTTTGTGTGGTGCTGTGAACTGAGCACATGGCCTCTTTCATGCTTAGAAATTAATCTGCCAGTGATTAATACCCCCCAACCAGGAGCATGTTTGGAAAAAAAACCATGACATTGAGGTTAAATCACCATAGGTTTAATTATAACTTAAACTTTGCTACAAACTTAGACTTCCTATGAATCAATTCTCTCATCAGTAAAGCAAGTATCAAAAACAGTAGTTATCTCACAGAATACCACTGTGACGCAACAATGGAAATTTTGCAAAATGTCTAGAATAGCTCCCTGCACTTGACAACTCAATTTAATATTATCACTGTCCCTTCTGCTCAACAAACAAGATTTCAAGTACATAAAATTATATGATAATAATTCTTCTGATATGTTTAAGTATTAATAATTTCAAGGACTCTAAATTGTATTTACATTCTCTAAATTTGCTTAGAGGAGCAAAGCAGCAATGTTTTAAGAATAGTACAATAGGAATGCTCCAAAATAGATGTTCATGTTATCAATGGTGAATAAATTACTTGGTAAATTTGTGATTTATCAGGATAAATTTGTAGTCTGTATTGGACAATCTGGACTAGAGACCTCTAGCTCAGGTGTAAGTCTGGAGACAGTACTGAGGATCCAGAGAAGACAGAACACAGAGAGGCCCTCCCGTCTTTCTGGCTCCCCTATGCTGGGCTTTGAAAATAACAGAGGCCGTATCACATCCTCCACGCAGGCCGCTCCCTCCAGCTCATAAGCTCTGTTACCTTTCCTTAAAGTCTCTGTCATGTACGCTGTGTTTCCCAAGGTTTATCATTCTCTGCAGTCTCTTTATATCACCCTCACTCGCAGCCTGGTGGATCGTTTTACGAGGTTTGTATCCGGCTTCGTTTGCAAAAATGCTTTTCATATCATGTAAAAAGTCCAACAAATTTTTTCTTGGGACATCGCAGAAACCCATAGGTGTCTTTTCCTTAATTCCATGAACCAAGTTCTTCATGACTGAAGTCACTGGTCTCACCGCCTGGCCCTGACCTTCGGATTTTCCCTAGTATTTGTCCTTTGACCCACTAATTCCCCAATTCAGGATTAGTTTATGGAAAATCAAGATATGCCCACAAGGTACCCCGCTAAAACTATATGGTGGGGGAAATAGCTTATGACACCCCTAGATACAGTTGCTGGACTCCAGGTTGCCAAGCAACACAGGTAAACATTGGTGTGCTCAGCACATGCACATGAGTGGGCCTCCTACACTGCTAGAGTTTAAGGGTGTTCATTGTGAATGTGCAGGCCACTTCTGGCCATCTCTCTACAAGAAAACAAGTCTGTGTTCCATTAAATATCCACATCACCCTCACTGTAAACAATGCCCCTCTTCAACTTCCATCTCTCAATCCCAGCTCTAGCTCCTTACTCCCCTTCTACACTTTTCTCTCTTCTTTCCTCTTCCCTTCTTCCCCCTCCCTCTTCTATCCCTCCTTTATTCATACAACCTTAGGATCTTTTTCTTCCTCTTCCATTTTTCACTACCCCCTTCTCAACCCCATTCTTCTCCCCCAGGAGCAGCCCCTCCCCCACCGCCTCTTACATAAGCTCATCTCTTCAAGTGTACCCCTGGAAAGTCCATCCTAGTGCCAGTCTTTCTTTCTACCTCACTTCCTTCTCTCTGCACCCCTTTCACTCCATGTTTCCCACAAAATTCCAGAATACACCTATCTCCTCTTCCTGCTGACCTTCACCCACACCATATAATCTCACCATTCACTCATTCACCACACACACAAAGTGAAAAGCAAGCAATCAAGACGTGATGGTGCACATTTTAATCCTAGTGCTCAGAAGGCGAATGCAGGAGAATATTCAGTTTGCTGCCAGCTTTGATTAAACTTAGCCCCAAATAAGAAAAAGTGCCAGAAACATCTGGAAGGCAGTGATGAATTGTTCAGATGCGAAAACAATGGATAATTTGTTACTTTCATTTCCATTAGTGCTTTTTATATAGTCTAAAATATGTATTTCATAATAGCCAGTAAATATGTAACCACTGAAAAACAAAAAAGTGATATATAAATAATAACCAACAAATAAATATGTAATAATATATGGCTAATAACCAATATATATGATCATTTCATTTTGAATTTGGAATAAATTATTCAAGTTTATCAAGCTGTTAGAGTAGGAATAATAAATCATGTCAAAGTGGAGGACATCATTTAACATTTGTGTTTATAATGCAGTATTCAGGTTGTATATTCTTGTGAGGAGCTTAGGAGACACTTTTCCTACTCAGGAGTTGTTTACTCAGTCTCTTCATTGCCACCTTCATGTCTTTGTTCCTCAGTGTGTAAATGGCAGGGTTCAGGATGGGTGTAATCATGAAGTCCAGAATGGCAAGAAACTTATCCACTGGGACATTAGGAAATGGCCATATGTACACAAAGATGCATGGTCCAAAGAACAAAACCACCACAGAGATGTGAGCAGAAAGTGTAGAGAGGGCCTTGGACAAACTGCCCAAGGACTGTTTCCATACAGTGAACAGTATGAAGATGTAGGACACAATCAATAAGAAAAAGGTAGTGACAGAAATTAATCCACTGTCAGCAGTAACCAAGAACTCCATTCTGTAGGTGTCTATGCAGGCAAGTTGGATGAACCTAGGAAGGTCACAGTAAAAACTATCTATCTCATGAGAACCACAAAAAGGCAAATGGACAACAAAAGCTAACTGAGCCACTGAGTGAATAAGACCAATAATCCATGCACCAATTAGAAGCAAAAGGCACATCCGTGGGCTCATGATGGTCAGGTAGTGGAGGGGCTTGCATATGGCCACATATCTGTCCCAAGCCATGGCTACCAGCAACACCATCTCACATCCCCCCAGGACATGAAGGACAAACATCTGGAACATACAGCCCTGGAATGAAATGGTATTATGACTGGAGTACAGATCATAAATCAACTTAGGAATAGTTGATGTAGAAAAACATAAGTCAACAAATGAAAGATTAGCTAAAAGGAAGTACATGGGTGAATGTAAATGAGGGTCAAGGACAACTGTAAGCACAACTGAGAAATTTCCTAGAAAAATTGTTGCATATGATATTGTAGAAAACACAAAGAGGAAACATTGTGTTGGTCTGTAGACTGATAATCCCAGGAATACAAACTCAGATACTTCAGAGTAATTTGCTTCATTCATTGGATCTTTCTTGAGTTATCTACAATACTCAAAACAAAACAAGCAAAGCAGTTACCAGAAATAATAAAATAATAACCTAGCAGTGGAATACTTTATTTGTGAATTCATTACAATAAAATGATTTTATATTAAAAAGTATAATTTAAAATAAATAACTATTGAAAGATGCACATAAATTATTTCAAAATATATATTAATAAAAATAATTCTTCATGACCTTTCATATTTTGAATAATTAATGTCTCTATTCTTCTAATATCCATTATGAGTATATACTATATCCCAAATACTATGTTATGTCCTTTGGTAAGACAGTGGTCCTGTTTCTGGCAGAATTGCAGGCACATTGAATACTTTAAACATGAACAACTTTAAGCACAAACAAAACCTTGATGACTAAGATGAAGAAAAGCATAGGAGAGTAGTTGTTTATATCAGTGGCCTCTGCCTGAAGAGGAATTAGAGTGTAAAGGGATTGAAATGTCCTCTGCAATGACCTTGAGACAAGGGAAGTACATCAGAGTAAAGCAAGCACTTGTGTTAAAGAACTTTGCTGTTTTATCCTAAGAAGAGTCTCTTAGTCACCATACAAATGGTAAATCGACTTTTGTACTGTCTGAGGAAACATAAACAACAGAGTAAATGTTATTAATTTTCACTTGTTATCAAATTCTTCATAATCTGATGAAGTTCTATAAATGAGGCAGTGAGGGGGAAAAGACAGTTTCATACACTGACAATTGGAATGTAACTTGATATAATTTCTTTAACAGACACCTTCAAAAGAATATTAAAGCAACTACAAGAAACGAAAACCAATATTATATAATGGGGTGAATAATGTATTTTTAATAAAAATTCTCACTAGACAAAATACCTAAGAAGCTTGTATTTAAGAGCTGCATATCTAAGAAAAACAGAGGATGATTCTCTCATGCTTACCTGTTAGTTGCTTATTCCTATGCTACCCTAGATGTGTTTAATAGTTTAAACCATACAAAATTGACATATCTGCATCTTCCAAAATATATATTACATAATGTATTACTTTACTTTTTCTGTCTTATTAACTACTTAATTTTTAGGCAACCTAATCAAATAATTTATGTTTAACTCACACATAACTGACTGCCATTGTTTCCCCCTTGTAATTCAACTACCAAGCTCCCTCTAGACTCGGCACTGACAATGACTCATTTTCAATTTTCATGCCACTTCCTCTCCTATGTGTCATTTTTTAATAAGCTGGTATTCACATGAATACATCCTTATATTGCATACTCACAAAATAGAATATATTGATGCAAACACCAGGAACTCACTGGAGTCAGAAATAGAGTTCCGTGCAGCAAAACCATATAGGAAGAGGCATCATGATGGTCAGAATGTAGGAGTAGATATCAAAGCAAAACAAAACACTGCAGAGGTTAAAAAAAAGACTACTTAGTGATGATTAAACAGATAGTCACTGGGGAACATTAGAGATGAATTCAGTGATCAGTTTGATACTGACCCAGAAGAGAAAAATAGTATTTTTCCAAGAAATTTATGACAAATATGTGAGCATATATATATATATATATATATATATATATATATATATATATATGTTAACCCTGATTTGAATAATACACAATATAAAATTATATATACTTTTTGTCAAAACATTCATGGAATATGCATTTTTGTGTAAGAGTTAAATCTTTATAATTCAAATTCACAGAATCTAAGCAAGGGGTAAAGGCACAATCACAGAGCTGAATGACAATATATTTTCCCATCAAAGGAGCTTTAATTAGGCCTACAACTTGTAGTCATTTATTGTGAGGAACTCAAGGCATGCACATTTAGAAGTGCAAAGTTATACATCCTGCATTTCCAAAGAAAAGGCATAGAAAAGCACCAAGACCAAAAGTCAGGACTGCGGAGATGGTTCAGCTGGTAAAGTGCTTGTGCAATCATGAGGTTCTGAATTTCACCCAGGAACCAAGGTTAAAAATTCAAACATAGTGATATGAGTTTGTAATTCCTGTATACACACAAGCATATCCCTAAACTTCACTGGCTAAGCCAGTCTAACAAAATTTGTGAGCCTCAGGCTAGTGAGAAACCCTGTCTCTCTCATACATACTCAAACAAAACCAAGGTAGGTGTCATTTGAGGAACAGCAACCCTCATCGTTCTCTTGCATGCACACAAACGTGGACTCACACATGAACAAACATACCCACTATATGCACAAACACTAACAGAATGCTTTACTGCTAGGTTTATTGTTTGTTTCTAAATGATTGGGCAACTGACCAGTTTACTTTGACTTTCTTTTTATGTCAAACTGTTCTTTGCTACTTTTTGATTATGGCTTGGAAAACTATCACCATTTTATTACTATTGTTAGTGAAGAATCAAAGTAATCACTCTGGAAGGAGTAGATCTAATTTTAAGGAGAAGGAAAGTATGTGCAGAGAACTCACAAAACAGGCATGCAATGGCCAGTTTTTATTAGGCTTATTAACAATCAACTTTATCAGTCATGAGTAGTTTGGTAGCTATTAGTTTAACAATCAAAATAGTCAAGAAAGAGATCAACAAAGAGTGATAAAACATACATGAGAGAAATAATTCTCAGTATTATCAATGTTTCAGAACAAAAATTTTTCTTTTAAAAATTGATTTATAAGTTGAAAACATTAATTAAGATGAGACACCAAGTTGATTTCTAGAAAACTAATGCCAACTCAAGTTTTGTGCATAAGTAAGTAACGTTTATTATACATCCTATATCATGAATATTATTAATGTTGAATAGTACAAACCTATTAGCTACATAATTGTGCATATATGCAATGGAATAGATTGAAGTTATTAGATTAAGTCATTTTACATATGTAAATCTGGAAATATTTCCAATTTGAAGATTGGAGGGTATTAAGTTAAATTAGTAATAGGAAAATTTTTATTTGAAAGAGAAATAATATTCAAGAATGCGCATTAAGTACCATCACTCAAGAATCTGGAAATGTAAGCTCCCATGTTGCTTTTACCTCCCAAATTTATACTTATGTGTTAATCAGATTGCTAAAACAAAGTTATATGCTGTCAAGTTAAAAGTGGATTATTTTACAACAGAAGAGAATCAAGATAAACAGCTCTACGAATTCAATATAGTAATGTCAGAGTCATTCAAACAAACTATAAATTATGACAAAGAATACCAATATGAAAACAATGGTTTTCTCATAAAATATCACAATTCCATTAATAAAGAGAATTCTCAGCAAGAGTTTTATCACTAATATTAAATTCAAGTTTGTGAGCAATCCCTAAAATATACCTATCCTTAGCTAGCTGATACTAATAAGGAAGTAGATGAAAGCAAATGGACAGAGAGGAGATGGGACATGAACAGCAAGCAGAAAGAAACAGGAGAAAGTAGAAACAAGCAAGAAGAAATACCATAAACACTAAAGGAGAAGCAGTTGACAAGCACACCAGTGGAATCTTTCTTGATGCTTCTCTGCTCCACTCACTGCTCTCATTTTTTATGTGCCAGAAAAAGTTCTTGTAATCCTTCTTCTATCTCCCCAGCCTCTGCCTCATCTGTCTCAAACACCCTTTGCTCCTTTATGACTGTACACATTTCCTTGTTTTATTTAAAAGATCACTTAGTGTTTTTATTTAGCTGGTTACTTCTTATTGCAAAAACTCTCTCCTATGTCAATTCATCAAGAATGCCTTTTTACTTAATTGTGGACTAGATAGCCTTCCTCTATGCCCTAACATCATGCTTGTAAATATGTTATATTTCATATTCCATAGCATAATTTACAATGAATATTCTCTTGGAGCTATACTAAGTCCATGAGCATCTGAAAAACAGGTAGTGTATCTTATTAATAAATCCTGGTCCATGGTAAATTAAGTGAGTTTGAGATAGACAATTATATAAATATAAGGATAATTGATGATACTATTTTATTGATAATGAAGATTTGCCTTCCATCTTAAAGCTACTGAAAACTGATTCCAGAAGAATTATCAATTGCTACTCTAGAGATTATTATATACCTATGGCAGAACTGAAGAATATCAATTAAAAGCAAGTTTTCAAAACCTTAGCTAATTTTTGTGGAAACACAATCAATACCAAGCAAAGCAAGATAGAAACTGGATAAGAGTAAGGAGTGAAAATTTTGACTTCTCTGTGGAAGTCCAGTATAAGTAAAGGATCAATAAATGCTTTTTTAAATAAAAAATAACAACAAAGAATAAAAAGTTTTATTGTTGTGAGCTGAGACATATCCATTACTTACACCAGAAAAATAACTGCTAACTTTAGTAGGCTTTTGACTAATTGCAGCATCTCAACTTACCTGATTAATGAGAATAAAGGCAATAGAAATCCCTAGTTCTAGTATTATTGAATCTCTTAAGAAGTGTCCTCTCTTTGGTACTGTGTGGAGCTTTTGGCCACTTGAAGGCTGGTGAGCTGAGTCCCTAAGACTTTTATCATGGGAATTCCACTATTATAGCCCTGCTGACTCAAAGGGTAAATGATGAAAAACAATCTAGTGAAAAACAGAAAATTCCATCTAGTAGCATAACAGCAAAATATTCAGGAATTTCAATTAATGACATTTCAATGTTTACTTAAATATTAAATACCATTGATGAAAAAGAGATGGATATTAAAATGATTAACTAATCATTATTTTAAACTACTTGTAAGTTTATTCATGTAATTGCCTTTGTATGCAATTATCCAGTTCACACAGTACCTTTAGTTAGAGACTACCTTGAAGAGTCATGGCACTTATAACAAGAGTGAATGATACTACATGTCAGAGCTTAGTTCTTAAAAGACATTGTGCTATATATGCCCTGTTTTTAACTTGCTACGACATTTTTTTATCATGAGAGGTTGAACTTCACCACAAACAAAATGTACATAATCATTTGATGAATCAATTGATCTAACAATATTGATATAAAGAACTGCA